TGCCGGCGGCAGCAGCCTCTGTTGTTGTTCATGCTGTAGCAGCAGTACTGCATGGGCATGCAGCAGGGGCTGGGGCAGCAGTACTGCATGGGCGGGCAGCACGACTGCGTCTTGCAGCACTTGGGGCTGCTGTAGCAGCACACGGAGTAGTTACTTCCATGGCCGCATCCACAACCTCCGTTGGGCATGTTGTTGGTAGTGGGGTAGGCAAAGCTGGAAGGAACAAGAGAGAGTCTGTGACTGGGAGCAGGATATTTAGAAATACAGAATTAATTCAAAGCTCTCTTGATGCTAAATTCAGAGATTCAGGGAGCTGAAACAGAGTGCTGTCTTGTTTGTAGTAAATCTTGCTTGTAACTCTTCTCTCTGTCTTTTTCCTGCAATGTAGATGCTCACCTACTCATACCAGGGCATCCCTCACGTCTTAGCAAGAATCACACAGCACAGTGCACATAGTCCTCAGTCTGGGCCCTCCTGAGACATTCTTGGTCCCTTTGCTCCGCCTGGCCCTGCTGGTACTCCTGTAGCCTCTCCATTCCTTAACACTTCTAGCTCGTCCCCATAATTCCTAGTACACGGTTCATAAAAGCCCAACTTCAGCCAAAGTCCCAGTCCGGGTACCCGGTTCTACTTGGATACTGTTGTAAGATAGCCATAGCATTTTGCTTCTGTGAAAAGGAAGGAAGATTTAGATGTTCTCACTTACCCTGTTGAAGAGTGAGGAGAGGTGAAGGGAAGAGAAGATGAGCGAATGAAGTGAGCTGGGCCAGGAGACCTTTTATAGTCCTAGACACCTTCCTCCTGGAAGTGAGACAGCCACTGACCATTTGAATATCCCTATTTACTAACCCAAACCCATACTTTTTAGCTATACGTGTCTTCTGGTATTTACTCTTTGGCTTATTATTTCTGATCACTACCTTTGTTTTCCTTCATAATTGTTTAGCCTGCAGAAAATCAAAGGCCTTCTATGAATGCTAATGAATTTGTCGCCTCTGCAACCTTGCAAGGGAGCCAAAAAATGCGTCCTCGTATCTGTTTGACAAACGCAGACAGTGACGGCCAAAGATGCTAAGGGACTTACTCAGCAGCTGCTGGTGCTGAATCAGTGTAAGAGCCGAAACTGAACCCCTGGGTTGTGTCTTTCGGGCACGTGATGGGCTGTTTCATCAGGCTGGTGTTTGAAACAAATATTTGGAAAATTTCATGGAAATAGTACGTTTGTTCCCGGTCACAGGACATGCACGTGAGGAAGGAGCAAGACCATGTGCTTGGGATGTGCTGGCAGTCATGCTGCCTCCCGGGACTCAGTCACCTGCACGTAACTCCATGCAAGATCATCTTGCCCTCATGCGTGCTAAGAGCATCTCTGTGATGTCAAAGCCATCTTTGTCTTTCGGCTTGCCTAATCTTTCGCAAATCCTCCAATATGGGGGGTTTAGGTTTGCATGTGGGTGTCACTAACACAGGGCAGACAAGCGGGCTTCAGTTCCTGCCCTGCTTTGTTGGAACTGCTTTCCTAGGAACATTTTAGAATCATAGAATCATAGAATGGTTTGGGTTGGAAGGGACCTTTCAAGGCCGTCTAGTCCAACCCCCTGCAATGCGCAGTGACACCTTCAACTGGATCAGGTTGCGCAGAGCCTGGTCCAGCCTGACCTGGGATGTTTCCAGGGATGGGGCATCGACCATTTTCTCTGACTCTGAATTGAATTGGCCTCACTGCAGTATTTTTTGCATTTTTAAAAGAGAAGTTAAGGGGCAGCAAGTGGTAGCACAAGGAACCAAGGCTCTGGGACTGGGCATGATGCACTGCAGGTCAACATGTCCCTCCTGCAACATCCCCTTTCATCTGGCTAAAATCCTATTGCGTGCTAGAGCCCTGACACCTAGCAGAACCACCCCTGCCCAGCTGCTCAGCAGGGAGGGAGCGGGGCTCAGAGTTGGAGGTTGTGCAGGACTGTTTGTGGGTGTTGGAAGTGGTAAATGGGAGCTCAGCATGGGCCAAGAGGATGAAAGGAAGATGAAGGTGGAAAAGATATGACAATCACAGAAGACTGGTCCTAACTGGGGTCATGGAGCTAAGTGGGAAGCGGGGACTCAGAAGTCATGCAGGAAGAGACGTTGTTGAGGTAGAACCATTTTCTGGGAGGGAGAGAGGAAGGGAGGAAGGTCAAGGTAAGGCAGAGCCTTGGGCAACTGAACCAGGGTGGATGAATGCTTATTTAATGCCAGCCATGGCCTCCAATGCACTTTGCTGTGGGGCTGAATGCTGGCAGGAACACAGAGTATTTCAGAGGAATTTTTTCCACGGCCTAAAATTGCAGCTCTCATTTGAAGACCTCACCACATCATCCTGAGAGGAGCGCTGCCTAATGAGAGGATGGTGGAGCCTGCCTGGCAAGTTCCCTGCCTGCTGCCTGACATCCTCCGGGATCCCTGGGGTGCTCCAAAGAGGGCTGCTCCTAGATGAGCTGCTGCAAGCCCCGAGGATGCTAGCAGGGTCCTTGGTTTGCTTTCTGCACGGTGCAAGGGGGAGCAGATTGCGATTTTAGTGCCGCTCCACCCCTGCGGTAAATGCAGCCAGCTCCTTTCCAGACTTTGCTGGGATGAGAGTAATTCCTTGAGTGAATTGCTGGAGAAGCAAGACATGTAATTGCAACTTCTCCAGACAGGGTAGAAGAACATGAATGGCATTTCCTTCCCAACAGGTCCCCTCTGAGGAGGCATACACCTGCCTGCCCATGAGAACTGATTAATTTACAAGGAATTAATGGGGCAGAAGCAAAGGGACACACTTCGCTTGTGCCTCCAGAGGGAAAATTCTCATTGGCAAATCCTGCAGCTGCAAGAAGTGATGATCTAGGTGGGCATTTCCTACCCATGATAGTCGTGTCCAGCCATTGGTGTAACCTAGGCACTCACGTGGTCTTTGGTGAGTGGGATCCTAATGCAAAGAAGGGACTGAAACAATGTGGAAACAGTCAGTAAAGGGCATTAGACACAGATTGAGGACTGCAGTGCAGATCTTGCGTGCTATGTTTTGATACAACTCTTACTGACTCTGTCATTCTTTGAAGACAGTTGAGGCTTCTCACCGTGTATTCTAACACCTCAGCTTGAAATCTGGTAACCCAGATATTTTAGCATAGGCAAGACCTCCTTCTCATAAATGCTAAAGTATTTATAGAGACTCTCTGTAGGTTCTGAAGTAGACCTCTACATGGAGATTTCCTAGTTGGGTTGTGCCTGTGTCAAACTTTCAGAAGACATTATTATCCTTTACAAGTTTATGTATTATTTTCTTCCTGTTTCTTTGTAGTTTTACAGTGAGAAGAGAAATATTGCTCACAGAGGTGCCAGACACTCAGCTTGTGTTTGAATAGACCCAGCAGAAGCTCAGAACTGCATCAGGGATGCATTGATTTTCTTTGTGTAGGCAACCTCCCCCAGTTAGCACCTTACAGACAGGGGCATCCCAACACTAGAAGAAAATGCAAAGAAAATGCGATAGGTGTAATGATGCAGTCTGGATGCACCAGCTAGCAAACAGATAACCACCAGGAGTTTTGCAGGGTTATGACTACAGATTTTATTGGTTTTTTTTTTCAGACAGATTGAAGCAAAACAGAGGTGAAAAGAATTAAATGTCCCACACACCAAGAGGAAAATTAACAGCGGGAGTAACGCTCACAAAGGAAAATCACACTGATCAGTGGGTGGCAACTTTAAAGCACGTTACAGGCATTTGGTGATTAAAGGCGGGCAAAGAAGAGGAGAGGAGATCTACAGTCTCTAAGCAAAGGAGGAAGAGC